ATAAACGGCAACATACACATTAATGTAAATAAATAGCCAAATAATGGATCAACGCTCTCTGTCTAATATGTTCGCTAGCTGTTGTTAGTGTTGTTGCATAGCAACCACCTCGCACTATGTTTTGTGCAGAAGGCAACAGAGGGACTATTTTATTTTGAACATCATTATTTACTAATAAAAACTATTTAAATTAGAGTGTGTATTTTTCTTTCATATTGCCACACTTGGTAACCGTTTTATAAAAGCAATAGCTCACTTCAGGCCGTGATATATGCTCATTATATCACAGCTAGCTGTGATATAATGAGCATATACCACGGCCTGTCGTGAGCTATTGCTTAAGTATACAGTATACATTATAATCCACCATCCCCCCCCCCCTCCCAGTGTGAGAGGATATATGACTGGTTCCTCTGGGAAACACGCCATCCAAAAGAAAAATACTCTCGCTTCCTACTGTAGCTACGGCAAACCGTTGCTATGGGTGCCTACAAGACACTTTTGCAAATGCGTGCAAGTTCTGCATGTGAGCGGTGTGTACGTTTCATGTGCCTGCTTTATTATTGATGCATCTAACTTCAACCCAGTGTGTGTGTGTGTGTGTGTGTGTGTGTGTGTGTGTGTGTGTGTGTGTGTGTGTGTGTGTGTGTGTGTGTGTGTGTGTGTGTGTGTGTGCGACTCAGCCTCCACCTGACTGCGTTCATTCAGAAAATGCCTCCCGTGTACATCTGCGTGTAAATATAAGCCTGTGCACATGTGATTGGCGGGGGATTAAAGTGCGACGGGCGTTTATCTCGGAGCGATGTTACTGTCAATCCCGATTAAGACACATGCTCTCTGGCCTCTTCCTCTTCCTCTCTTACCTCCTCCTCTTCCTCCTCCTCCTCCTCCTCCTCTTCCTTGGCAGATGGACACATTTTGCTGCACCAACACTTCCCACACTGTGTAGCTCTGCCGCTGTCCAAAGTCGAGGAGATGCACATTACAGAAAAGATGTGAAGATGAAGAGGTAGAATTAGCAGGATGAAGAGGAGGAGGAGGAAGAGGAGGAGGAGGAGAGAATAAAACACAGATTGAGGGGTTTGCAGAGAGGGTGAAGGGAAGACAAGTGATGGAGGAGATAAAAGAACAGGCCGGAGTAACGGGGGAGGACAGTTGCCTTAGCTTCAGCAGTAACATGAACATCACTATCATGTCATCTGACATTTTTTCACCGAAAAAAATATCTCACTTTTAGAGAGGGAGAGAGTTTGATCGTCAGCAGAGGAGAGGTTTCTGCGGTTTGGAACAGAAACTCTGCATTTTTCCCCATGTTCAATCTGAGGAGCTTTACATGTTCTCTGTTGTTGTTTCTTGAATGGAAGATTTTCATTAGTGACTTTGATTTAACAAACAATATGTCATGTCTAAGAAACTTATTGTGAAAGTTTATTTTCACAATAGTGACAAAAGTTTAATTTCCCCTATCTGTCTCCTGCGTCCCTGATTGTTTCCACCTGTTCCCCTTACCCTGTGTATATATTGTGCTAGTTCCCTCCTGTCCATTGCCAGTTCGTTTCCTCATTCAGGACAAACGTACAAGCCTACTCCACGGATATAAATCGTACCTCTAATCTCCTGATCATAGTCTTTGTTTTTCCTCGAAAGAGTGTTATTGTTTTCCCTGTTTTGTTACTGTGTCTAAATCCAGTAAAATCTTTATTTTGAATCACTACCTGAGTCTGAATTGAGTCGTGCATTTGAGTTCATGCCTCAGAGTTCACTCCTTGACACAATAGGCTATTAGCGCTTGCAAACACGTTGATAAGGATCAATATATCTGTGATGAATGAATGGACAATCATAGACTGTACTTAAGTAGTGGACAGAGTCAACATGACATAACCCATCTGTTTGCGGTTTTGAAGCCTTACGTTTGGTATTTCGGCCGTCGCCATCTTGGTTTTTGGAAGCTGAAGTGACAGGAGAGTGTAAATCAAAGTTCAAATGAACGCTGAACAAATTATTTTGACACCATGGAACTAAGTTGTTAAACTTTTTATAAATTTATCTGTAAATCCACATGTTGAAAGATTAATATTTCACCAACAGAGAATTTAATCATCGACATAGAAGATGTTTTTTGTGAAATGACAGCTCATCAGAACAGAAACACTGCATTTGTCCCCACGTTTAATCTGAGGAGCTTTACTTTGTGTTTCATGAATTTCTGTAAATGCTCCTAACTATGTGAACATATTATAAAGGGCCAACTTAAGAGACAAACAGTGCATACCATTTCACAACATTCGCAGCTCTTGTAATGCGTGAGATTTTGTTACAGAGCATCTTCTTTTGCACAGAAGTTGGCAATCACAGAAAACACTAAACAAGCAACGTAAACGGAGAGTGATTCCCAACAGACACCTGCAAAAACATTGGTAGTGATTAATATTCTCTTTAGTGAATTAATGGAAATCATAGACTGTTTATACAGTAAGAAGTAGACAAAGTGAACGAT